TGCACCACTATTACCTAACGAATGAGCACCCAGAAACCCCCCAAAAACAGCTCCACAAAGGCAGGAGGACAGCGAGCAGGAAGGAGAGAGACGGGCGGGCGAAGTGATATGTTCCTCTCTACCTCGGGGCACACGGAGACCGACCTGCCTGGTTTGATCAGGGTGTCCATTCAATACTCTAGCTTATCCTTTGATGATTCATTTCTTTCTATTCCCCGGCTGTATCTCTCTCTTCTGCTCTCACTCACACACATGCTGCATGATCCCTGTTCCCTGTTTTGTGTCTGCGTTCCTCGCTTTGCTCCCTCGTTCTAACTTTTTTGTCTTCTGGTTTACTTCATTTTTTTGGCTGGATGGTTACTTTCGTTGGTCTCTTTTTTTGTCGCCATGCTGCTCCTGTGCAGATGAAAGATAAGTAGGCTGCTGTTGTCATGGCAGCATTGTTTCTGTATGAAAGGAAAAGGCATCGGGAAGTGAGGACTTGTCTGTCCACCAAGCAGCTCTAATTATTTGTAAGCTACAACTTCCTTTTTTACGTCTCCATGCAGCGACTGTCATGATGTGATTGGTCCTGACTCGGCAGCAGGAATATGAAGACGTTTCACTCACAATTAGTCAACAATCCATCATTGTGACTCATAAACAATCAGGGATGACTTCAGGCATGATTATGATTTAAAATATCCAGCTAAGCAGTAGCTTAAACCAGTGACAATGAGGTTTGTTTTCATTTTCTTACAACAATACCTAACTGGATTATGACTGTTTGGTGATAACATGGTTACTGGTACTGGCAAAAATGAAAAATATGTCTATTTTTTTTGCGTGTTTCTAAGCACAGGAACAAGATGGAGGATGGAAGAAACTTTCTAAAATGACAGAAACTACGGAAGCTATGAAATATATCCTGTTTAACAGGAACAGGACATTCCAACCTGCTTCTTTGAACATCAAGTGATGAATGGAGTGTTCTGGTCTCAACATTGTGGGTCACTTCACTTGATCAGACTACATTTGTTTGACCTCTGAGGTATTAGAGAGCCCTCAACATCCCAAATCCCAATTTTGGCCTGACGCCGGCTGCATTTTGATCATAATCAAAGCCAGTAATGTAGTAAAAAGGTCTTGCAGCTTTTGTGTTCTCACTTCTAAATATGTATTTTCATCAAAAGTGTTACAATTGCAATTCTAGTTCTAGTATTACAATTCTGTTAAAAGGCAGGTTCGGGACTGAGAACAGACCTGCAATCGGCTGTGTCCACGTGGGTTTGTTCCTTCATGTATCAATGAAATAACATTTAAAAAAAACTGCTGCCAAAACATTCCACAAAACATAATGATAGATGCACCTCAAACATGCTTCCTTTTATTTATGGTATTGACATTAGAAGAATGGGCCTGAAATGTTTCACATTATTGGCCCGAGGCAGTTTATTGATATAAAGTCTAAAAACTGTTGAAGAGTTATGGCCATAAATGTGAGCTGAACATACAGGGCTGTCATTTTATTGACATTTCGACCTTCGCATATGCGTCTGGTTGAATAGATGGCGTTTAATTCTAATCCATGCAGCCGTCTACGCTGATCACATAATGGCTCTCTCTTTAGATAGCTGCAACCGAATCAATCAAATCCATTTTCTTCAGTCCTACGCCTACAACTGCAGCGGTTGTGTATTGGGCAAGGCTGTCTGAGAGGACCGATGCTGCCGCTTTTCTCAGCAGCCGAGCTGTTGATGGACTAAAGGGGAACTTTATGATACAGCTTCTGTAGATTAGGAATGAACTAGCTGCCGTCAGGAGAGATCATTTGGCTGATGATCAAGACGGCAACAATGAGCCAGGAAGTACAAAACAAAGTAGCACACATATTCATTTGCAAACCAGTGGGCGCGCACATGCATACAAACATAAACCAACCAGTGGGAATAATCCAACGGCTGCCCGCGATGACCCGCTATCATTTTCACTGTCCATCTGTCTCTTCCATTTTTACTCTCAGCTATCCGCGCTCTTTTTCCCTTCATCTTCATCAACTACCTTTGTTCCTTTTACCCAGTGTGGGTTCTGCAGAGGAAACGATGTATCTCGGCACGTTATTCTGGTACCATGATAAATGGAGAGAATCTGTGCCTGTTGACTGCGGCCTCGAGATAAAGAATAAGCAAATTAAACCGCCTGCCGGCCTCGCAGCACCCTTGAATCCACTGCCGCCATTCCTCACGCTAATTTGATTGAGAGCGCTCGAATGGCGCACACTCCTCGACCCACGCGCCTTCGCTCCGAGGGAGGTGTTGAAAGGGGGTTGCAGAGGATAGAGGGGGCCATCATGGCATGCAGCAATAATAACGATCAATCTCTAGGAGGCGTGTCTCAGCGTATCCTGTTCAAGTTGGACCCACTGTGGGTAGTTTACGTCAAAGGGATGTGTGGTGCCGCGGGAGACGGAACGAGAGGCACGAAGCAAAAGAGAAACATAATTTATGGGTAGAAAGGTGAGGCGGGGTGAGATGTGAAGGGCCAATGGATTGGAGAGGAAATAAATGAGGGCCAAAGAAAAGTACAATGGGGGAGAAAAAAAGGAAAGTACTCAACAATCCGGCTCCATGTTCCCACACCGCAATTAATGTGGAGCCAGGAGGACGGCCCACTCCTTTCTGCAGTAAAACAAAACCAGGATGGATGACAGTGTCTCTAATGCCTAAGTGACTCCCTCTATGCAGGCTCGCTGGGAGCAAAGTGTCGAGATAGAGAGTGCGACGAAGGATTGTTTGCTTGAGGAAGAAGGAACGGTGGAGCAGCAGGTGGAGAGGGAGACGGATTGAGATAAAGATTTGAGGGAGGGGCGTTGTCGTAACGCATGAAGGAGAGCTGTAGCAGAAGACAACCGTAAAGGGAGATGAATTGGGATGGAGTTTTTTCGCCCCCCCAGTCTCCTTGGTAGCGATTGTGCGGGTTTCATTCATTAGACTTCATGCAATGGAAAACAAAGAGAGAAATATCACCTTTCCGCAGCCAGTAAGGCACTACGTCTTTCTTCTTTAGCCATTTTTCACACGGTTTGACCTTTTCGAGGCAACACACCAAGTGTTAATCATGCAGAAAAAGAACGGAGGAATTTCTCCTTTTGTCTGGATGCTCGTTGCAGTGTCATTACACATTCACTGTGGCGCCAATTTTGGTTGCTAGGAAAAGCTTTGCGCTGTAAATGACTGTAGGTCGGTAGTGCTTGATTAAGGAAGAACAATGAGAGGGAGGTGTATCTGGAGCCTCTTTGCTCGTAATGCGTATTGGAGATTAAGGTTTTTATTGCTTAATAGTCTCTTTTTCTCATGTTTTAGGTAAGAAAATCCTCCTACGCCTCTCTAATAGATGTGACGACTCATCCCCCCGTACAGTATATGTGCCACACGGGCCTTTTCTCTCCTCAAGGTCGGCCGTATTTACCCATTACACACAGAACCGCTCACACGTAACTATTGAAAAACACTAAATTACGACTGTGGCATTAGAACAAAAACACTCACACATAAAAAAGGAAACATAAGGAGAAAAAATGCTGAGCATTACTTTTTCATGGTTGTCAGCGCTGGGATTAATAGAAGCCATTTTGCCATAATGAGCTGTTGAGCATTAGCTGCCAAAAAGCCTCTTCATTTGGTTTTGAGCCTCGGAATACTTTGTCCAATTATTAAAGCCCTCACTGTCTCTCGCCTTCTTGTTACTGTCAGCCGCGCTGTACCTGCGCGGTGGCTGTCTGATCCCAGCTCGTGCTAGACAACCTAATCAGCACCCGAAACAGTCATCCGGAGATGAGCTTTATAACGACGTTGTACTTTTATCACTAAGCGTGTACCCGTTTCGTGAGTCAAGCTGACAACTTTCAGTCGGTAGCGCGCTCCCAGCACCTGGTTAACGGAAGCCGAAGATGAGAAGAACTTGCCCTGCATTGGATTCAGTTCTTGTGCTGGGATTTGTGAGGGATATTTACTGACCCAGTAGGCCGTAGAAACACATTTAGCTGCAGCCAGTAAATGCAGCGCATCTGTGAATCCAATAAGACCATTAACTCCTGCTAACGGGAATATCACCTTGTTTTTGCTCTTTATGCCGTAAAAATAATGTTGTATGAGATGAATTGACTGAATCAGAACCTTAATACATCAGTGGTACTAAAATGTTGGATCGAAACTAAAAAGCAAGTGTCTCATCATAAAAATGTTCGCAGACTGGATTACACGTCAACAAAATATGGTCCTGCTTCTTATGTGGTTAATCAAAACGGTGCTTTGCAAATCTGTAATGTCATAGAGAGATTTTCCTCCACTCTTGAGAGCAATCTGTTGGTCCAGTTAAATGAGGCAATTCAGAAGCAAGAAAAAAGATGACACATGGCTTCAATTATCAGCAGCCCTGAATGAATCCCTGTCAAGGCGAGTGATGAAGATTCATCTCAACTCAAAACCTGCCACGGTTATGGAAACGAATGCACTTTCATAAAGTTCTTCCATCCAACTCAAAGCCCCTGCTATTGTGAATTCAAACAACCTCAAGTACCTGCCAGAAGAGCACTTTAGACAGAATAGTTTGTGAATAAAAGTGATAATATGCTGATTGAGCAACAGCACAGCCTATCCGTTCGCAGTGAACACAAACATACCACCAGTGTGATCAAATACCAGTTTAGCCCTCTGGCTTTGTACCTATTTGAGCGTTTCTACACAACAACGAGAAGAAAAAATAAGATGGAATAGCCTTTGTTTTACACTGCTGATGGTGATAAATGGAATTCAGCCTGCGTGACGAACGTTGAGTGCAGAGAACTGTTGGATCATCTGTTTTTTGTCGCCACGGTTTCCTGCACACAGAGCTGAAGCATCCTTGTCTCAGGCCCGATGTGTTTGTGGGACAAAGTATATACGGGGGGGGTGTACAGTATGGGTTATACGTTTTAAATGAACATCCAGTGTGTGTGTGTGTGTGTGTGTGTGTTTATCTACCAGCATAGGGGACCGGCGCGTCCTTGTCCAGGGCTACCAGCGGCGGGTCCAGCAGCACCGTGTCCATGTTCTCCGTGATGACGCCGTGGTACGACGTTTCTATCCACGGCTTGTGCTTGTTGACTGTGGAGGAGAAGCAGATGCACGGTTCACGTCACACCACCATTGCTGAAGTCATTGACACGCTTTGTTGTCTTTAACAGTTTCTCGGCTGGGCCGAGGACGGAGAATGACGAAACAGAAGGAAACCTCAGACTTTTTAAAAACATTAATGCACGCGCAGATCTCTTTTTGATATCTTTTTTAGACATGGCACAAAGACTAGCGGAAGTCAGAGGGTCAATGCGGATCTTGTCCACCGTGATCCTGTGGCTCTCTGTAGCACAATCAATACAAATTCCTTAGATTTAGAAAATGGCAGAGGAGAGAAAGCTTTGACATTAGTTCTCCCACCGCCTCTTCTCTTTCTTCCCGCGTGTACAAGCTTTGTCTTCATCTTTGCCGTTGATGACAGCCTCGATTCTCCCCAATCGTTGGCCATTTTCACCCCAAATACCCCAGTCAAGGAACAAACAATGTCTTTACAGCAAAAGCTTTACATTTCTTATACCAGACAATCTGAAGAAAAACCCTTTGCTTTTAGTGAGTCATTTGTGCCAACTTGTCCATTTTCCAGCCACATCATCCTTTTCTGCGTTCGCATCCGTTACTTTTTCCGTCTCTCTGCTGGTGTTCTACTACATTGGGAATTCAACCCGCCTGCCACAGATTTAAAGGAGGAGGAGCAGGAGATTAACAAAGATCACCATCACACGTTGCTCTCCCTGTAAATTAAACGTCCTCCCTCTTTCATCGCAGCGGGGCGTCACGTATAGATGAGCCCGGGACACAAGAACAACACCCACGCATATATCCAGTGTCCTTCTCCGAAGGGACCCGAGGTGTCAACTTGACCTTTCAATCTGCTGACGTCGGACCCTTTGTCTCGTGCCAACGAGCAGCTGGCAGTGATTTAAAATGAGACTGTTCCTAAAACCCTTTCACAGCTTTTTTAATTTATTTGGACAAATTTCAGTAGTTTTGTCCCACTATTCCATTTCCTCCCCGCAAAGAACAAACTCACGGATTAAGACTCGCCTTCCACTCCTTCAATTCAGTGATTATTTTCGATACAACTGTGGCCCCGCTGAGACGGACTAGTGAGTGGATTATAAAAGGAGTGAGGGAGAATTATTCATCCGAGGAGAAGCATCTCATGCTCATGCATAAGACAGAAAGCACTGCAGAAAACAGCAGGACTCCGCTGTGCTGGAAAGTGGAGAGGAGAGGGGAGGTCTGTTTCAGCATCTTTACACCTGCAGGATTTCACTTGCAACTGAGGAAAGACGGTGCATGAGAGCAGAAGAGTACTGATACTCCTACGGTGTCTAATAAAAGTAGAGCTCCATCTTATTACTGGAATTGCAGCTTGCTTTGGATTCACTATTCTGTGGCGGTACACAATTCCTGTGGCACTGAGGTAACTAGAATAAAGAGACAATATAAATGTTCAATAGTCTTTATTTCTATTTGCTTGCACTTGCCATAACAAATGTATGAATCTAGCATGCTCACCTAGGATTTCATTTACATAAAAAGATGTCTTTAGAACGGCAAATACAGCTAGTGCAGTTTACTCAAAGGTGGCAGGTTCAATTTCTGCCTCACGGTCTCACATTCATCCAACACAAACAGGGTTCTGGACGGGGAAGCAGAGCGGCGACTCCTTTAAGGAAGTCTAATATGAAAGCTCCTTTTTAGACCAACCGCACATCAGACCAGGGAAATGGTCTGTTTCCAGTGCAGCTCTCGTGACATGTAGGACAGTAAAGAGGTGTTAAGGGCACTCATCCTCGACATGCTTGTACGTAGCCACAGCAATGAAACAAAAATGGATGTACGCTCGCATTTTCTACTGTCGTCTGTCTGGGAGAGGGATGTTCATTCAGGCGGGCCACGAAAATTCCATTATGGCCACTATGTGCACATTCACCCGGTATCAAGGCGGCGGTTGTGCTTTTGGTACGTCCCCCTATACATACTTTCGGAAAACACACACACATATTCAAGGTTTATTTTTCCATTTGGAGGTTTCCCTCTTAACTTGGTTCTGGAATTTATCCCTTTATATATAATTTGCCATCATTTTCATTCCTCCCCCCCCCCCCCCCCCGCGGCGGCTGTGCGAGGCGGTTACACTGAAAAGGACAATGCTAACGTGCTGATGCTCAGCTGCTGAGCGTGAAGGTGCAGCTAAGGCTGGTGGTTCATTTCATTGGCGGATATTTGGTCCCAAACAATAATACTGAACAAATACTTTGTCATTATAGTTCAAGAGGATCACCAAAGTTATTACAATCACAGCTTAACGTTCTGCTTTCTGCAGCAGAGACGATACACACAGACCTACATAGAACATTATAAATATAAATAAACAACACGTATTTGGGCCCCTATGACACATAACTAATAGTCTCTCCTCAAAGCCACGAGACTCTATTGACAGAAAGAGTCATTTCACCCTGCTGCTCATTGTAAAACAGTTCCTTCAAGCGCGACCGAAACCAAATCAAACCTCTAATCAAAGCGGTCTTGTTTTCTGTCTTTCCACTGTGCCAAGAATCACCAGCTCTGGTTGCGTTCTACCGACGCGTTACATTAGTAGTTTTAATCATGAAGTGTACGCTCCATGGAGCAGCGGTTGGGAAGTTCAGCAGGTCATAATTCACTCTGTAATATTTATATTGTTCTGAAATTGGCCCCTTTTCTCACCATACACAGGACAAAATTACATTTGAACACATCATGCTTCTTATTATATTATATGCATATCTATCTTAGACTGATACTATTTTATCCACTACACCACCAGGGATTGAATTACATTTTACACACAGGCCAAATGTTGGAATTAATCATTTCTTCCCTCACAGGATTTCACTGGGCTTAAAAAAATGATTTCCACATGGAATTAAATTGTAAAGAAGAGATGTGTAACTGACCATTCATGTTTAGGTAAATCAACACAAGGATAAGCCTTATCAGTGTAAGGATCAATGTCCTGTCTTTGGATGATGGGAAAGATCCAGAGAACGTGGCTTGATAGAAAGGCTGGGAGGCGGGACTAAAGAAAACGCTCGTGAACTTGCTCTTTAGGCTCCACGTATACTTAAGATCGCCGGAGTATTCAGGTGATTTCATCTGCGTTTTATACTTCATACTTTCATTTGTCTAACCTCTAACAAGCATGACTGTATGCAAACATTTTGATGGCAATCCATGTTTACGTGTCAGGATCAAAAAGGCCGACAGAATAGACATCGCCATCCATCTGCCACATGGCTCATAAAAAAACAAAAACACTGTTGTAGCTTGTGGTTCCTCCTTTAACTGGGTTACTGTGTCACTGACTGCAATAAGCAAGGTGTCCACGCCCATTTCCGAAGGAGCATCTGCAGCCATTACTGCATTACAGCATCTGGATGCAAATTACAAAAGACCAATTCACTTAGTAGAAGAAAACAGTCTAAAAGTGGCCCTAGTACAGCTCCGGATTCAATCTGATGTGACAGTAATATGAAAACAGAATTCCAAAAACGACATAGTGCTTTCTGTAAATAACATTACAGCAGGGGATCGTCAACTTGTCCATCCCAGTATTGAAATCAAAATCTCGGTTAATGCCCCCCTCTGGGACTGAGGCTCGTGAATAAACACATTACAGTAGGGACGTACGCCGGTAATCTATATCTAATTTGGGCCCCCGTGTCATATTCAAACAGGCACGCTATCTGTGGGAAGGTATTGATCAATTTACGTCGAGCAAAATCCATTTACTTTCAGCATTTATTTCATTACGATGATGTTGCAGTGGAATAGATGTAATCTTTCCACAGACCCGTAGGCTAAATAACAATAAAAACAGGAAGAACAAACAGACAAAATGGAAAAAATAAAGGAAGAAGAAACTTTTAAAACATGGGATAAAATAACTAAAAAAGGATAGAAATTAAAAGACATAAAGACACTTTCTATCTAAAGAGATAAAGATACTGTCTGAAAGTATTGAAAAAAGGATGTACTGAATCTAAAAGATCACACAAAAAAACAAAGCCCAGTTGTATCCATAGAATTTGGAACAAACAGCTTCATCAGAGCATCCAAACTAGTACATAAGGAGGCAAAACAAACATGGACCAGGGAGACCTAAAATAGTTTGTTACGTGGACGGAGAAAACAAATTCAGGTGGAGTGTAAATCATAACGTTCCTCAACAGGACATGGAAATGAGACAACGTCCACAATGCAGACGCTGCATCTTGAGAGAGGAGAAGGACAGAAGTGGATCAGGGAGCCAAGAATAGAATCACATTTCAGTAACATAACAGAGCAAAGGGCCTCGCCTCAGTGCTGTTGGAAGGTGAGAAGGCAGACTGAACATCTACAGAGCTCTGCGGGGTGAGCAGTAATTAAAAGCTAGGTGAGAGCACACACACGCACACACACACACACACACACACACAAATGAATTTCACCTTTCCATACATGGAAACAGCGCAGTATTAATTGTGTCTTGTTGACACAGCCTGTGTGACTGTTGACCAGGAAGCCACCAACACCAGAGTAGATTTACTGTATAACAGTAAACAGAGTGCAAGAGAACAGGAGGACAAACGGGTTAAGCAGCAGAGGAGAGGAGCAGAGCAAGAGGAAGGGAAGCCTGTAGGACCTCACAAATCCTCCTTTTATTTCCCTATTATGCTCATAAATGGCCGAGATCATAAATCACAGAATAATACCAGTAATCCAATTGACTTCATTCCCCTTTTGCAAGGAAAGACCTTGCGGAGGCCTCCAAAACGGATGATTTAGGAGACACACCCGCCGCTTTAACAGTGATGAGACGATGATGCCCAATAAATAAACATCTCCTTGGTTAAACATTAACATTAGCGAGAGAGAACGCGGGGAGACGGAGAACCACAGGCATCTGTTTCCACTGCAGGGGGAGAACGTATCCAGAAACTATAAATGTGTTCCATGCACGTGCTGCTTGTCATATGTCACATGTCAATAACGTCCCT